ACAACAATGATCTCCTTTCTTGCTTTGTGTTTGTTCTGTTGCTCTTTTTCTAACTTGTAAGTTTGGGCTCTTTGTTAACTTGTCTTTTTCTCTCTTCCAGACACTTACGGCTGCGGATTCCTCCTCGGATGTGACGTGAGACGTGGGTGGGTCACTTACCTTCGTCATAGATTCCTGCCCCGTTCATGGTGTTGTCAGAGAGCTTGCTGTGTTGTAGGGCCCAGACACTTTAAAATTTACTGAGTTGTGACCCGGGGCCCAGCAGATGGGGGTTTCTACAAGTTCGCTGTGTGTTTAAGGAGTAATTCTCCTTGATTTCTGGGTCAGAATCCTGTGACGTCTGCCGGCCGGTGCCCATGGTTCTGCTCTCATCTGTCTGCACGGCTGCTCTCACTTCTTGTGTCCACTCTGCTCGGGCCTGGACCCCACGTGGCTACTGACACTGCTCTTGGGAGGGCAGCATGACCTCTGTTGTGCCCAACCCAGGGGGTGGCCCCAGCCCCATGACAGAACCTGTCAGAGACACCGGACGCAGCTGGAGCCCCTCCCTCTCTGACCCCTGCTCCTGGCCTCGGCCGCTGAGGTCCCTGCCTTCCGGCTTGGCCTTCTCTTCTCTGCTCATTCCATCCTTGCTCATCGCCCCCATCCCACATGGATAAATGCCAACCCTGTGCAATGGTTCCAGATCCGAGTCCCCATCTCTGGCCTCTTACTGGGTCTAGCTGTGGGACCCCGCCCCAGCATCCCTTGGATGTCCAATTGGCAGCTCATCCCGCCATCCTAGGAAGGGAGCTCTTGAGTCCCCAGTCTCGGGAAGTGGCAATTCCATCCAAGCTGTGGGTCGGGAGGCCCCATGGGTGCAATTCTGCCTGCGTGCAAACCCGTCAGGTTGTCCCCCCCAGGATGTGCATCATCTGAGCCCTGCTCTCTGCCCGCTGTCTCCTGGTCAGACTTCTGCACTGGTGACCACCTGAACCCCTCTGGGGGCTTCCTATCCCCTTGGAGTGAAGCCCGGGGGCTCATGTCTGCCCCAGGACCCTTTCACCTGCTGCCCCTTCTGCCTGCAATGTGCCCCCCCAAGCCCTGTGCTGACCCTGCAGTTCAGTCCCCCTCTAGGAAGTGTCCTGGTCATCAGCCAAATAGTAGCTGGCGTTGATGTCCGTGTCCAGCCTCCCTGTCTTTACAGGGCATTTACTTGTTTTTACCTGTGCAGTTCATCCCTCATCAGGACAGTGGTGCCACAGCGTGGACACCTGTCTGTGCATCCACCTAACAGCTGCGTGGCACACGGTGGGCTGGCAAGGAGCAGCAGCCCCCTGAGCGGGGGGTCAGCAGTTGGAAGCTGCTTTTCTTTGATTATTTGCAACTTCTAGCAATTTCATGTGTTTTCTTGGTTATTTGTGCTTACAACCCCCTGGGAACAATCTTCTTTTTTTTTTTTTTATATATATTTTTTTATTCTTATGTTAATCCCCATACATTATATCATTAGTTCTAGATGAAGTGTTCCATGATTCATTGTTTGTGCATTACACCCAGTGCTCCATGCAGAATGTGCCCTCCTCAACACCCACCACCAGGCCAACCCATCCTCCCACCCCCCTCCCCTCTAGAACCCCCTGGGAACAATCTTCTGTCTCCCCTTGAAAACTTTTCCTTGAAGGTCAAGTTTTTCCCACTCTCTGTGTTGTCCCATCACTCATTTACTGGGACCCTGGGATGGTTAGCTTCATGGTTAACTTGACCAGGCCGTAGTGCTCAGATATTTGGCCAAACACAAGTCCAGGAGAGTGAAGGTATTTTAAAAATGTGATTAACATGCAAATCAGAAGAGGTTGAGGAAAGCAGATTGCCTCCATGTGAGGGTGGGCCTTGTAAAATTAGCTGAAAGCCTTGAGAGGAAAAAGGCTGAGGTCCCACGAGGAAGAGGGGGTTCTGCCTCCAGACGCCTTCTGACCTGACCTGCAACATCCACTCTGGGTCTCCAGGCTGAGGGCCTGTATTACAGGTTTTGGGCTCACCAAGCCTTCATAGTTCATGGGATCCACTTCCTTAAAATAATCCCTTTTATATGTATATATAAATATAAATAAGATTTTTAAAATAAGATTGACAGACTTACCTGTCATCACACACACACACACACACACACACATTATCTATCATCTATCAATCTTCTATCTATCAATCATTTATCAATCACCTATCAATCATCTACCTATCTATCAATCATCTATCTGGTCTATCATTGTTTATTCTCTGAAGAACTCTGACCAATACTCTTTTTGATGTCAGATGCTTCGACCACTGTCTCCCGTCCTTTTTCCTTTGTTTATGGAGACTCTATCCTGATAGATATTTAATCTTTGATCTGTAGGCAAATCTGCCAATCTTATTTTTTAAAGTTCCTGGCTCTGCTGTCATTCTGAGAAAGCCCTTAATCACCTCGGGAGAAGGTAAATGCCTCCCCACCGTCCCTTTGGTCCCACTGTTGATTCCTATCAGTCAGTAATGCTGGTCCTGACTTTGCTTTTGTCCTGATCGTGGGAGCAGGGTCCTGTCTCTGCACTATGGAGTCTTCCAGAATGACCTCAGCAAACCTGGGCCTGGCCGTGGGTAGGGCATGGACGTCGGGGCCTTGGCTGGGGAACAGAACTCTGGTTTCTGCCCAGGTGCCAGGAGGTCTGGTCCCCAAGCCCAGGGGGCAGGACTGGCTCAAACCTTCCCCTCAGACACCAAGAGAATGGGGATCGGTCGGGCCCCATGCAGGTGGCCGGGCGGTGAATTCCACACTGAGGACCAGACTTGTCAAGCCTTGATTTAGGTGTGGGAGGGCAGCTGTGTCCTATTTATCACACAGCTGGAAACAGATGTCTCTGCCCAGGGTGGTTGGCGCCTGGGCCGGCGAGGGGGTGTTGGCGTGGGTGAGGTGCGGAGCATGCTGGGAAATGGCCCTCAGCCTGCACGTCACTGGGCTGTGTCAGGGCCTGTGGCTGCAGAGCTGGGGAAGGTCCTGAACACACTCACTGTGCGGAGGGAAACAGCCCGGGCCAGCGCCCCACAGGGGCCGTCACGTGCCTCCGGCAGACAGATTTCTGTAGTTTGGCAGAGGTTAGTTTGTGCTTATTTAAGACAAAAGGGGAAGTCGTGGTAGAAGGCCGCCCACTGGATCCTTCCGTTGCAGAAATCGCCTTACCGGCCAGGAGGAGCTGGGGTCACATGAGTTTTAGGGAAACATATTTTAGGGCATCTAAGTATGTTTCCTGGACAGAAAGAAGCTCAAATACAGATCCCCTGGGCCCAACCAGGCGCCCACCATGCTCAGGGGAGGACTCGGGTCAGGGGCTTGGTGCCCGGCCCCCTCCCATTCTCCTCGAGGCCTGCAGATGGGGCTCCACTGTGTCGATCCATGGGTGTGGGAAAAGCCAGGGGCTTCCTTGGGAACAGCTGTGGTCTCATGGGGGCTTCTCCAGGGAGGCTGGGCTGGAGCATGTGCCTTAGGTCTGAAGGCCCAAGTGCATGGCCTCCTTTGAGGCCAGCCAGACCCTTCATTCATTCCTTTACTCATTCCTTCCTTCCTTCCACTACTACGGATGCTCAGTGTGTGTGGGGGGCCTCGAGGCCAGGCTGGGAGGTGGGTGGAACCAGGGGGCGAGTGGGCCTGGACGGCTGCAAGGAGGGTGGTGCTGGGCAGGCCTGGGGCTCTGGGCCAGGGCAGGCAGGGTGGGTTAGGGGTGCAGGAGCCCCGACCTCGTTCCTGGTGTAAAGGGAGCCCATCGATGGGTTTGAGCTGAGGCTACTGGGACAGTTAGGTCCTCAGGACATGGCCGAGGGCTGGGGCGGGGGGTTGGGGGGGGAGCCTGGAGGCTGGCTGGACAACAGGGAGCTCTGGGCAGGGGTGACATGGTTTGCAGCATGTGGTGATGGCTTGGGGTGTCTTTTGGGGTCCACATGGCAGGAGGTCATTTACAGAGATGGCAGGGCGGGGGAGGCAGACTTTAGAAGGATTTGTAAATCGGTGACGTGTGCAGGTGGAAATGCCGGGAGGCGAAGATGCTCTTGTGCAGCAGGTGGGCACTCATTCACTCAGCAACTGCTTGCTGAGCACCTACTATGCGCTGGGCTCTGCTCTGTGTGTTGGGGGTCATCAGGGAGCAACAGGAAACACTGTGTCCTCGACATTAACTTTCTTGGTGAGGGGAAAGAAATAACCAACCGGTATGATGAGAAAGGGAGCCACAGAATGTGCCGGAAGGGGCAGAGAGGAGAACTCAGCCGGCGACGGGCAGAGGGCAGGGGGCGTAGAAAGAGCTCCGTGTGGGGGCTGTCCCGAGTCCCGCCATTTAGGGCTGTCTTCTAATGGCGTGTGGGAGCCTGTGTGGGTGCGGGGCACGTGTCTCTGCTCACACGTGAGCACGCACGGTCTGCAGACCCGCACATGTCTATGCACATGTTTGTACGCGTGTGTGTGCGCTCAGGGTCTCCAGGGTACAGTGCACACGTGCATGGCTTACGTCTGTGCACGTGTGCTTACGTGTGAGCTGTGTTCGTGCACACACAGGTACCCACGTGCGCCCGCATGCATGTGCCCGCCAGTGTGGGGGCACCTCCCATTCCCTTCAGGGCAGAGAGGCCCCAAAGTTCTTCCCACGGGGGCGTCTCCCCACTGCGAGCCCTGCCACAGCCACACCCCAGTCCTGGGTGTGGATCCTTGATGCCTGCCTGCAGCCCCCTGGGTCCTCTGACGGAGGCAGATCCAGATGACTGAGATGGGTGGAATGAGCAAGGCTGTTTATGGGGCCGGCTGGCAGGCGAAAAGGCAAGGGGCGGCAGTGAGGACTGCTGGCTCGGGGAACTGCAGGGTGTGACGCCCTCCTCTCTGGGTGTGGCGGCTGAGCTCTGGACAGAGGTGGGCTGGGGGGGGGCAGAGATGGGGCTGGAGTCCAGGGTGATCCCCTCTGCCCTCGGCGACAGCATGAGGCTGAGCCTCCTTTCTCTGCAGGTGCTGGGCGTCTGCTGTCCTGGGGTCACTTCACCTGCAGTAAGAGCCCAGGGGTCAGGAAGGGGGCGGGTGTGAGGGGCAGGGTCCCCAGAGAACAGGGCCCAGACCCCTGAGTCCTGCCCAGCCAAGTCAGATGTGAGCAGGCGGCCAGCCTCTGTCCCGCCGTAGGAATGTGGAGGTGGAGGGAGGGGGCCCCCGAGGTCTCGGGCTGAGAGGCCCCAGGCCGCATCCGTGGCCCATGATGGCCGTATATTCCTCCGGCTCCCTGCAGGCTCCCTGGGCCAACTGCAGCGTGTCCCTCAGCCCTGCACACAGGGGCGCCGGCTGCCTTACCTTGATGAAGGTGACAAAGCCGCTGTAGAGCAGAGTGAGGAGGAAGAGGGCTGCGAACGTGGGCCACAGTCTGCTGGCATCCTCCAGGTCCGTGGAGTCCCCGCCGCTCTCGTCGTGGCTCTGGGGGGGTGGGAGGGTCATGGCCAGACCTGGGGAGCAAGGGCACTGGTGAGGAGGTTCAGCTCCGCATGTGGCGGGATGCCGAGGGGCGGGCGACTGCTCTGGGGCGCCCCTGTGCTGATGTAGCCCCACCTGGTGCGCACCTGTGAACCTTCTCCGCCACCCGCCCCCAGCACTGGGGGCTCTGCCGAGCCAGATGGGCCCAGCACCAGGCCGTGCAACCAAACAGCCAGGCACGTAAGCCAACAGGTCCGCGTAACAAGTGTGCACAGAAGGTGGGTGGCACTCAGCAGGTGTAGACACATGGGGGACCCAGCCAGGCCTCTGTGAACGTCCCCCTCGGGAGCCATGAGGGGGGGCCAGACGGTCCGACCAGAACGGCACTCTACGCGGAAGAACCACCGTGCTCTCGCACACAGCCTGATTCCAGGAGGGCGGAGGGGCCCAGGGTGCCTGGAGCGGGGAGCTTGGGCAGGGGCGGCCAGGGAGCCAGGGCTGGGCCAGGTGCTTCTGAGCAGCAGGGATTCCCCCAGGGCCTGGAAGCAAGGGCCAGGCACGGCCAGCTCTGCCTGTCAAAGCAGCCACTCCGTGGGGGACGTGATGGGGGCGTCCGGCAAGCACACTCCCTCCCCGGTAGGAAGTCCTGACAGGAACCATCACAAGGCACCGACGCTCCTGGCTGGTCATGGCCTTTCCGGGGCTCCACTCTGTGCTTGACCAGGGCTGCTGACAGTGGGTCTGGGGCGCTGTGGGCCCAGGGAGCAGGCGGGGACATCGCGTGGGCCTTGCAAACGTATAGCTGTCTGAATCTAGTAAGTACATCCCGTCACGTTCTGCAAAGGTCCCGGTCCATGGTGGACAGGAGACGGTCCTTGCTCCAGACAGTTTGGGAAAGTCTGTGTCAGACAGGTGGAGGGTAGTGGTGGACAGCTGGGGGCTCGGCTGGACGTGACAAGGGTCACCGGTGCACAGAGCGCTGTCCAGGGAAAGGCCGGGGTTCTGGGCCCCGGCGAGGGCAGTGGACCAAGCCCTGCAGTGGGAAGGGTGAGGACAGGAGGGGTGGGTGTGACAAGCCTCCTTTGCAGCCTCCTCTCCGGCATGGCAGCCAGAGCAGTGGGCCATCTGCGGGGCACAGCCTGGAGAAGCCCGAGACGGGGATTGCACGTGAACGGACCTGCTTTTAATCACAGCATCTGGATCTCTGGTGGGTCTGTTTGCGACTTTTCATCCAGATCATGGGGGAAGCTTTTCTGGTTCTTTTCACACCTTTTAATTTTTGCGTGCACGCTGGGCATTGCGAACAGACAAGCAGCAGAGGGTAAAGTGGGGTGTAACATGCACTTTCCATGGGCAGGGGTGGGGACCTGTCCAATCAGGACTCAGCTGGCTGGGATGGCAGGACCGTTGGCTTCAACTCCAGTGTTTGGGGTCAGGACTCTCCTTCCACGGGGGCGTCAGGGTCTAGCACCATGCAGGACGGGGGATCTGACCCAGCTCGGTTCCCCACTGTGGACACTGAACAAAGAAAGGTCCTGTGCGGGGCAGTCAGTGACAGAGAGAATGCATTTGGGTTCATCCCTACGCTCATTCCTCATGTCAGCCCATGCAGACATTAAAGCCCTGACTGATTCCCTCATGTCCCTCACCTCCCTGTCTGCCCACGCCTCTGTCCCCC